TAACTGAAATTAATCTGAAGTTTGAAATTTACCCGAATTCCACAACCAGTGCCCTTAGTGTACCCTCTGTGAGTTGTTCCCTCTCTCCAAGAACTAGATGAAAAATGGTGGAGAAGATTTTGAAGGAGGTGGGAATCCTGGGCTCATGCGTCCCATGTGGAGAAACAGAATGCAATTTCATCATCTAGGAAAATAAAAACTAAGGAGCAGAAAGGCCCCAGGGCAAATGGTGAAACTTTTACCAAGAATGCCTCCAAACGAAAAGCAGAGAGTACTGACAAAAAGCCCAGCCAGGTGCTCAATGGCCTCAGTTTTAAATCTCAGCTCTCATACCTACTTGCTGTGTGTGCTTACACAAAGCACTCCACCTCTCTGGTCCTGGTTCCTCATTTCTTAAGTGGGGATAATACCACTGCCTACTCCACAGAGTTGCTGTTAAGATGAAATTACTACTTACAAAGAATTCAAGAACCATGCTTGAAACACAGAAAGTGCCAAGTGAGTATTTGTTGAAAGAATATTAAGGAGCAACCCATATTCTAGAATGCAGATTTTCTCAAGATTTCCAATCATGTGAGAGCAGTGAAGTTATTCCAAATCTGCTAGAAGAAGTGGCATTTTCTCTGAGACTATGGTAACTTGGTGTCCTGGAACAATATACAGTTTAGTGGATTAAACTAAGCGTGGAGGTAGTTAAAATCTAAATTTGAAATACGACCTCCATAGCTTTCAACTGAGCCTCAGTTTCCTCTATACCGGAGGTTGATAAATTACAGGCCATGGGCCCCACGTGGCCCATGACCTGTAGTTACAAGTAAAGTTTTACTGACACACAGTGACAACATTTGTTTTCCTGTTATCAATGATTGCTTCTGCACTACAAGGGCAGAGTGGAGACAGGCCCTCTATTCCACAGAGCCAAAGGTGTTTACCATCTGGCCCTTTACAAAAACACTTTCATCAACTCCCAATGTACAATACAAGAAGAATATTATCCTAATCTGGGAGGGGGCAGGGTTGAGATAACATACAAGGCAGAACCCTATACAGAGTTTAGGCTCCACAATGGATAACTATTATCATTAAACAGAGACTCAACCTAAAGACTAGAACTTGTTTCATCAGTATTGTTTTCTCACTTGTTTTCTATCCTCTCTACCTACGACTGTTTGGTCCAAAAACAAAATATGAGCTTGACTTCCTCTAACTTGGATTAAGCTAATCTGTCACCCACCACCCCTCCCTGTTGAGGCCATTTCTATGGCTCTATTCATCCCAATGTTCAGCCTTTCTGCCCTGTGGTTAGGGAACCTTGGCTTTGTTTCTCAGCAATGCTACAGTAATCATACAGGAGGCCCGCAGATGCCTGCACCAATGTGTCTTCAATTTTTTAATTTTTTATTTAGAAATAATAAAATAAGACATAATATATAAAAATATGTACAATCCATGGTTTGTGCAGTACAATAGGAAGACTTTTAGATACAAAAAGACGGCAAACGGGAAAATAGTAACTATCACGATTGTCAAAGGCCGGGACTGTTCAACGCACCAGAGCCCAGAGCTGAAACCCAACGTCACTAGAAAAGAGATTCTAGTCAGGAGTCGGGAGTCGGGAGGGGACTACGCAACACTTTTATTTTTTGCCTTAACATTATTAGACAACAGAGTGAGAAAGAACTCACCCTGTTTTTCAGAACAAGCTCTTTGCCTTTACCGAGTGACTTATTATAAAACACGAGCTGACATTTGTCATTTGCATGGGTAACATGATTCGGGGGATAGAGCTCATCACATAGACAGTCAAGGTTTGGATGGGAGTTCACAGGGAAGAAGGAAAGTGAAGAAATAATGCATGAATAGTGTTTTTCGTGTTTTTGTTTTTTTAAAAAGGTAAAACAGACTTTCTCCAGGAATTTGGAAATGGCTACAGTGCTGTACTGACATCCTTACAATGTCTGATTCAAGTATACTCTTAGAGGGTTAGAAAACTATTCCATTCTCAATAGTCAAAATAGAATTCACTTTGTCTCTTTTATTTAAAAATAGGAGAACCAGGAATCTATGCCTCCTACCAAAAATATAATGCCCATCCAGATACGAGCAAAAATTCTTTGAAAGGGAGTAGTAAATTCAACGGCGGGGTGGGGGGGTTTGCTTGCAACAGAGAAGCAATACGGAGCTGAGAACAGACCCCAGATATTCACGGCGAGTCTCCTCTGACTTCATTCTAATGATGTATGTGCACTAATTAAGGAGACCCAGTCAATAAGGACAAATGCTTTGAAGGTAAAATGCAACAAAAAAATATTGTGCATTACCTGTGTCTTGGCTCTTGACAAAAAAAAAAAAAAAAAAAAAATTGCCATTTAAAGCTTGTAATTGTTAAAATACTAATAACTAGAAAAAGCTTTCAAAGGAACAGTCCATGCTGAAATAAATAACAGAACATAGCAATACGAACCTTATAAGGCTGGTAAATATTTGCTAAAACCATGCTAACCGGTAGCATAGAGGTACTAGCTCTCCGAAATTGCTGCACTGAAATTGTACTTTCTATGGCAATTTTTTTTTTCCTTTACAGACTTCTATTTACATTTGGCTTTAAATATGAAAATATCTGATAAACTTTATAAAATGTACACTTTAAAAACATAGCTTCTGCAAAATTTTCTTGGAAAAACAAAACAAAAACAAAAACAAACCTGTGCACCAGAAATTTTAGATTTTTTTTTTCTGTTTTTCAGAAAGAAGTTGAAAGATTTCCCTCCCTCATTCCTGCCCCCAGACCACCCCCTTCCAACTCTCTTAAGTCTTTTGAAGTGGCAGCACTCCGTTTGGAAGGAGCCCTCTTCGTGGCCCCCTCCGTGCTCCACTGCATCTTCATTTGATTTACATATCACGGAATACTCTTTGGTTTGATTATTTTCCTTTGCAAAATATCGAAATAGCAGCAGCTGAAGCCCTCAGTAACCTCTCGCCCTCGACAGCCGAATCGTTCCCTTGTCTGTCCATTCTTTTTGTCCACCCAACCCCAGTTCCTCCAACTCTCTGAACAACTTCCCCAACCTGCCTCTAGATTTGGATTTAAAATAGCAACCACTTGCTAGACTTCTCTGCCTCGGTTTCCAGGAAAAGAACGCCACAGTCTTCAAACCCATCGGCTTTGAGGGCTGAGAGCAGCAGACACTGTCCTATTATTGCAAGCAAGGCATTTCAGAGATGGCTGTGTAAGACCCAGAGACCATCACACGCTTCGACTTACAAAATACAGGATTCCAGAACAAGCTGTTTTTTAATGGCATACAGGGATCTAATACCATAAGAGAGTTGATTTTGAGACTCCAATGAAAAAGAAAAGTCAGCAACCCCCAGATTTCACACATAAGGAACTTTAAACCAAAAAAGAGTTCCATGATTGAGTTAGAGCAGGGGAAAAATAAAAAAAATAAAATAAAAAAAACATATATGTATGTATGTTTCGATCCAGTCAGGCAGCTAGGCAGGCCAGACTTCTGGAAAACAATGTGTCCTGAGTAACCTGCTCTTCGGCTCTACAGGTGACGAGAATCAGTTCAGATCCCATCTCAAATGTGCATCCATAAAGTAGAAATAACCCTTTTAGATCATTATCTCCTCCACTTGTGGCTGTGTTATATTTTGTATGGCTCTTGTTGACCCCAAAATACTGCGACATTTTCATTCCTACCCACTACCATGAAAAAAAAAAAAAAGTCACTTTCCTCTTCCTCCCGAATATTTAAACGGATGTGTTACATCAATGTGGTTGGTCCACACCCCGCCCTCCCCCCCCCCCCCCCCCCGTTGACATCTACAACCTCCCAGATGTGGGAGGACTTGCTCCAGACAGGCTGATTGGAAGAACCAGCCTAGAGGCCAGGCATGGAATCTTCTCCAAGGGGAAATCAAGCTGGAAATGTCCTGACAGTTGGGGCAATGTATTCAGTCGCAAGGGTTTAAACCTGTCTATCTTTCACGTTGGGTAGCTCAGATTTTGAGCCAACTAACTCCAACCTAGGTCTTATGGAATACATTTTGGAATGTGCAGAAAGGGGAAATCCAAAAAAATCTAAGAGCACATCACCTTCTTTCATCTTGTGCGTTGACCTGGCCAGCCTTAGCAAGCAGGAAAGAGAAGGTATTTTGATTGCATATGTGTGAATTTTAATTCACCTTTCTTCTTCCCCTATCATAAACAAGTTGCATGAAAGAGTGAAATCGGAAAAGCAGGACACTGACTAGACTCTGTGCGTATGATGTTGTATTTCTGAGTAAGTGAAAGAGGAGAGGGTAGTTCAAGGTCTTGCTGAGGTTCAAAGTTATTGTTTCTTGATTTCAAGGCAGCCGTGGGGCTTTCTATTCTTTTTAGTCTAAGCTCCACTGTGCAAAAATGTGCATTATCTTTGGTATTTATTTTAGGTAGTCTAACTTAAAATTTGAGATAACCCATTAACATCATGGAAGGGAAAAAACAAAACAAAACCCAGAGGCTACCATTTGGCTAGTGTTACATAATGCCCTTATGTAACCAAAGAGAGAGAGAGAGAGAGAGAGAGAGAGAGAGAGAGAGAGAGAGAGAAAATCAATTCTAGCAAACAAATTACTGGCCTCAAAAAAATCAGGCTCTCATTTTGGCAGCTTAATAGCCAAATACTTGCCACTTTGAAGCACATATCATGAGCTTTCAACAAAGTTCAACACTGACTTTTAAATTACACGAAAGAAAAACTACACGGCAACAAAAATACAATTTGTGTTCATGTAGTTAGCAGCTTTTCAAAAATTAAGGCAGAGTCTTGCCTTTGTTATGCCATTAAAAACATTCTTGTTCCCTAAAGAGAAGCATTCTGGATTAGTCAAACACCCAACCAAGGCTTGCCTGCAAGTTCAAGTTTTGTAAAAACACAAAACAAAACATAAAAACCCCATAACTTATTCTACAACATGTATGTGCCATTGGGTCATGGGGAGGGGGGGAGGGGGTGGGGAGGGAGGCATGTTGAGTGCTTTATGTTCATCTCCGAGCTTACAGTCTTTCTTGGAAACCATCGTGCTCGCCTCGGTCCCTTGTGGCCACTCTCCTTGACCCACCTCTTCACCAGTACCGTCGTCTGAGTAACTGTTTTGGGCCTTTGACCAACAGACTGTTATTTTAAAGTAAATATTCCAGAGAAGGAAGCAGTCATATCTCCGACTCTCGCCTTAAGGGCCTGGGCTCTAGAGGGACACTTGCCTGGTTGTGAAGGTCTATGTCAGGGGGTGTGTCCGTACTGGTGCTTTCTGGAACCCCATTGTCACTGTCATCTTCCTCTTTGCTTGTGAGGGCGACTTCATTTTCGTAACAAAATGAATTAGCGTTTGAGAGGATATATTTCTTTTCTGCTAAGTCTCTGGCACTGCAAAGAGGAGTGTTGGGCACCTCATAAGTCTTGTGGAACCTTGAATAGTCTACTTTGTAATAGTGCTTCTCCTCAAAGAGTACAGGCTCGTAGCGGTGGCCCCAGAGGATTTCATTTGCCAGATAGGAGCTCCGGCATTGTGTGGTCATGGCAGTGGCTTCCACCATACCTTCCAGAATGACCACAATTTCAAAGTCTGCGTTGTCAATGTCCTGTTTACTCAGATCATATAAAGGACTGTCTTCATCTATTTCGTGAACTATCGTGATCGGAGACACCAGAAATATGCGGTCAATTCCGCTGTCAAACCCGACGTTGATATCTATTTGATCCAGGGGGATGTACTCCCCTTCTGAAGTAATTCTGGATTTGAGCAGCTGGGCTCTCACGTGAGCTTCCACCAGGTGGCTTTTCCGAAGGTTGCCCACCCGCCACATCAAGCACAGCTTGCCATCTCTCATGGCGATCACAGCGTTGTGACTGAAGACCAGAGTCTCATTTCTCTTCTTTGGCTTTGCCATCTTTGCCATGACGGCGCCAATGATGAAGGCGTCAATGATGCAGCCCACAATTGACTGGAACACCACCATGAAGACAGCAATCGGGCACTCGTCCGTGACACACCTGAAGCCATAGCCTATGGTTGTCTGGGTCTCAATGGAGAAAAGGAAGGCAGCCGTGAAGCTGTTGACCTCAGACACACAAGCTTTGCTCTCTTTTGACGCATCCAGATCCCCATGGAGCAGAGCTATCAACCAAAACACACAGCCAAAGAACAGCCACGAGAGAACGAAAGCCAGGCAGAAGATAACCAGCATCCACCGCCAGCGAATGTCCACGCATGTGGTAAAGATGTCTGCAAGGTACCGTTGTCCCTTCTCCCCGACGTTGATGAACTGAACATTACAGTGGCCATCTTTCTTCACAAAGCGGCTCCTGCACTGTTGTCGGGTGTGGACTTTGCTCTTCCCGTTCCCAAAGCCATTTGCAACCGCCATGGTGGCCAACTTCATTCCGTCTTCTTCTGAAGAGACAATGCTATAGCGGTTGGTTCGCACACTGCCCATCGCTTCTGCTGTGGACGCCAGTGCTTCTGCTTTGGAAAACAGTCTGAGTTTTTGCAAAACCCTTTGGAGAAACAGTTTTGAATGTTCAGTGAGGTCACACACAAAAAAGAAGAAGGAGAGATGGGGGTTTCCAGGAGCCTTGAGGGTCTACCAAGGTCTGTCTACGGACATGCAAAGCTACCTCAGTAACTCAGCTGACATCCAGAGTACATGTCCTGAAAACAACAACAACAACAAAAAGACATTATTTTTTTTAGAAAAGAAGTCATTATTAATGGGTTCTACTCTCTAAGTAACGACATTTCCTAGCAAGACACAGCCAGGTACAGATAAAAATACCAGTAAATTATAAGGTATTTCATTTCTTTATCTCCTAAAAATATTCTTATTGTATTTAAAAGCATGAAGTTATTACACATGGGAGAGTTCATTGTTTGGGACAGTCTTTCAATCAAAATTTCAGGTTCTTTTTCCCTCTATTGTTTCCAGCAATCTAGGAGATTCTATTTTTACAGATAAACCTCTCTTATTCTCTCTCTGGCCTCCCCTACTTGCTAGGGTCCCAAGTTATTAAGCAGAAGAAAGACTTGCTTAGTCCAAGGTTTGTCACGAGGCTTTGAGAACTCAGACATGTCTAGAGAACAGTTCGTATCAAGGCAGAATGTCAATATTAATTGAGGTACAGGTGCATTATGGGAGAATACCGGAGCCCTCGATGACATGATGGAAATCAGAAGGCACAGACTATTTTGTTTAAACGATAATTTAAAAAGAAAAAAAAAAAAAAACTAAGCCTACAGCCCTTGTAATGATCTGAAATCGGTCCCAATTTCTGAAGACTGTCTGGGCTTGCTTCATCACCTCACACACTACAAGCAGCCACTTTGCAGAAATGCCTGATAACATCTCTGTTAGTGCAAGTGATTCTGACTTGAAGGCGTAGGTTTGCTCTGGGGGATAAAGAGCGAGTCTGTTGCCTAGCGATGAGTCCTGAAATTCTCCAGAGATGGGACTGCCATGTGTAATGACAGGCTAGGAAGTAAGCACCTTTGTGCCAAAGGACCAGGTCTTTAGTGAACTGAGATAAGGCAGGAACTCATTTCATGTGGGTCCAATTCTGTGTTTTCCCAAACAGAGACAACTTTGTGGGACTGGATCATAATTGTCAGTCAGCTTACTTTCACTTCGAGCGCTGCTGTTTGCTATATGTTCCCATGGAGAAGGCACTCACCTTTACCTAATGTGAACAAACAGTAGTTTTCAGTTTTCTCCTCTAGCCTCATCCTAACCTCGAGAAAAGCGATCTATTTACTTCAACTTCTCCTCTTCACTCTAAAGAAACTATTTTTTTTTCCTTGACTCACAAAAGTCTAAGATAAAGTCCAAAGTGTTTCCCTGTATCAAACAGAAATTAACAAAATGAATACAGCATAGAATGAAAAACTAGTGATTCTCCCCTCGTCCAGCCACCCAGTCGATCTCCTGTAGTAAAGGGGGATGAGGGGAAACAGATGGAAAGGAGCAGACATTTGCTGAAGCCCTGATAACAAGGACTCCACTTTTTCGTTCTCCCCCAAAACCACATTGAGATCAAGCCGAACCATCTGCAAACAAATCATGCAAGTCATTTATCTTGTTTCTGAACACCCCCTTAAAGAGGGGCAAGGTGCATTGTCTTTGAAAATGCCTTGTTACAGTCTTTTCACTTCTCCCTCCTTATCCAAGTTATTATGCAAGAATGTGCCCCAACACATTTTTCCTGAGATTAGTCATCTGTGAAAATTGCAATGTGTGTTACATTTTGGCAGCTTTTGACACGTAAATGATGCCCGATTTGAAAGTGCCTTTGAATTACTTTATAAAAAGAAGTTACTGTGCCTTCCCAGTCTTCCACCTGCTTCAATGTTTTGTCTGCTTCCCTATGAAGTTTGTATTTGGACAAAAGAAATAAGACTCCTATCCCTCAGGGTTCTAGATCCTGGACATGGGAGGAATTTTTTTTTTTTTTAACAGTGATTTCAGATTATTGGACTCATATGAAATTGCCAAGGATTTCTACGCAAAACTAAAGAAATGTAATAATAGAACACCAGATGCAGGTGTACTCTCCAAAAAAGGGGGAAGGGAGGGAGGCCTCATTTAAATAGTGCTTGTATCTTGAGGTCTGAATGACTTCAGAATCTTACACGTTGACCCCAAGAAATTCCCTTTTCATGATTCAAAACAACCCTTCCATCTGAGTTACCATTAGGGACCGTGAGTAGACAGTTTCAAATTTCTTCTAACTTATTTCTGCACTCTTTCCAGATTTAAGCATAACAACCATATGAAATCTAAAGACTGAATTACGACCTCCCAAAAATTGTGACCCCAGGACCTTCGTTCGAATTCCATAAAACACACAATACCAGTTCCCTACCAAGAGCCTCCTGCCTTTAGAACTTTGAAAAGAGCCTATATTGAATGACTCTTATTGTCTTATTTCCACTGTTAATGACAGAATTTGTTCCACATGCAGAGCATCATTTAGAAATTTTACCATTCTGCCTGGAAGGGGGGGGGATTTTTTTTGGCAAAGTGGAAGCTTCTGTCACTTCAAATAATACACTCCAAAACAGATTTGTGTGTGTATATGTGTGCACACACATTACGTGTCTTCCGAGTTTTGGGGAGCTGACTACATAGCAAAAATCTGGAACCTGCCAGTCTGCTGGGGTGATTGTCTTAATAGTTCATGGAGAAGAACGCTCTCCTTACTGACTTGCCCACATGCCCAAGTGGCTTTAGGTAAGCAGAAAATTTCCTTGCCTGCTTTTTTCTCACTAAAAAAAAAATCACCAATTCGTGAGTGTCTGGAAAAAAAAAAAAAACTTTCCTTCAGAATAGGGCTTTTGTGCAACTTTATTTTAGGCCTATATTCAAAAGAGTTCTTTTGAGAAGCATTTGATTGAGAGGAGATGAGAACACTAAGTGATCCGACTCCTTGATGGGTGCAATTCAGGAGAAACCATAACTGATTTGACGGACAATGTATAAATTCCCCTCTTCGCCAAAATATTGAAGGGCCTGATGTAAATCTCATAGATAGAAATAATCATTTTACCCAGGCTATCACCAATGAGGTAGAAAGTATTTCTGGGAAATTGAGAGGCTACATGCGGTGCTGTTCATGTTAAGACTATTTATAGGCTGAGCCAAAATTAAGCATAAGCAATGGAAAAAAATAGTTCAGCCATTTCAGTCTTAGGTAGATGTTAAAGAGAGAGAGCCCTATAGATCAATTCAAGGTCAAGGAGATAACACTGTATAAATGAGTGCATCTAAATAATTTTTTCCCATTTAGGAAATATCTCCAATAGAAAACTAGAAAACATAATTATGACAAATAAATGAGGATGAATGTATCTCATAATATGGTCATGGTGTGCAATGGGTGAGAAAGTTTGTGGACTGCAAATAAGGACAGTAAAAGAAAGTGTGCTGGGTTGAGAGAGATGTCTGCTAATGAGTGCTCAGAGCAGTTATTCCCCAGCTGACGCCATACAGACCAGCCTGAGTGTGCTCTGGGCACATGTTGCTATGTGGGCACAACTGCTAGCAAAGCAACCTCTTAGGAGCTCAGTAAACAGAAGGGAGGGGGAGGGGGAAGAAGGGAAGGGCAGAAGGATTGGCATTTATCTCTGTGAGCACTTTAAAATCTATATTCAGCAGTGCACGGAGCATCACTCAGCATTTGCGAATGCTGAGAAATACACATATCTGGTGATTAAAAAAAAAAACAAAAACAACCCTGCAACGGTCTATCTGTTCAGGTACAGATGTGGCCAATCTTTCATGCTACTGAGAAGTCATACAAGGACTTTACAGCTACCCAGAGATTCTACACCTGGGGCAGCAAAAGAAAGTAGAAATATGGTGTGTCCAAAAAAAAAAAAAAAAAAGGCCAAATTCATAGGAGTTTAGAACAAATATTCCTATGGATACCAATAAGTTTAAAGAAAGTATAGGCAAAACAGGAGGGACACAGGTTAAAAGTAAAGTTAAATGACCTTGACCCCAACTTTGACCCCTCTCACCATCCCTGTAGTAACATCTCTTACTCCTGAGCCTTGAGATTTTTCCAGCTATTGGCAAATATAAATAAAGCATTAGGGGTGGGGGGTGTAAGTGAGCTTACAAAATGTTAACAAGTGTACAGGTAATATACAGCAGACCTAGGGCACTGGTTAGTGAGAGGGAAATCTAACAGTGGATTGATTATTAATGGGAAAAGAAAGCAAGTGATAAAAGGCAATATGCATTCTTTGCATACCCCAAACACGTTTTCAATGCCCTGTTTCCTAACAGGTAAGTTCTAAGTCCATGAAAACCCCCAGGATTCACAGCAGTATCCTAGTTACCATCCCACTGGTAAGGCTCATCCAGGCACAGACATTAAACTGCCCATTTCCTATCTCGATTTTTTTTTTTCAATTGTCATGAGGAGTCTATGCTATGATGCAATCTTTTTGCAGAATCCACTGTGCTTTCCTGAAACCATGCTGTCTTCAACTTAGGTATTAATGCTATTGTTACTAAGAATAATACGTTGCTTAGGAGAGAGTGGCATAGGATGTGAAAGTTTTGCGGGCTTCGGGCTCAAATCCAACTCGGGCTCGCTCTCTCTTTCCCCAGCAAAGCAACTTTGAGACGCTCGCTCTGTTTGGAACTCGACGCTACACTTGAAGCAATGACAAAGGGAAAAAAAAAAAAAAGAGAAAGAAAGAAAAAAAAAAAAAAAGACGCGAAGGATCAAGACTAGGGCTGAGTCCCAAGTCTGCCTAGGTTTGAGACCAGTGTTCTAGAAGCACTCCCCAGCCCCCGCCTTTTTTTTTTTTTTTCTTCCTTCGAACAAGAATCGAACACAGGCTCCCTCGCCCTTGTCTCCAAACTCAGTATCTCGCTACAGCTGGTGCATTGGAAGTAATGAGCACAAACAGATGCTGCGGAGAAATCTGTTCCTATTGCTCAACTGTTCCAAGCATGTCTCAGTATTTTTAGCTCTGGGGATGTTCTGGTGCGCACACAAACTCTATAGGCATGATCTGGGACTCCGCAGCGTCGGGAAGCGCTACAGCAGCGTGACAGCTGGGCACCTCTAGAGCACTGGGGCAGGGTAGGGTTGAGGACGGCGGCCCGAGTCCACTCCCCAGGACACCCAGGCAGCGGGAGACAAGGAGGGAAGAAAACACACAGCAGCCCTTACCTGTTGCTGGCGCAGGAGCATGGGGACATGAAGTGGAAGTGGGGGGTACAGAGGCATGTAAGATCCAGTAGTTTGTAAAAGCGAATGAGCCAAAGCAAACCAGAATCCCCAAGACCCAGCTTGCCGGCGCCGGGAAAGGCTGCGCGCTGGCCAGGGCTCCAGTGCGCTCTGCAAATATCCTGGGCTCTTTTGAGATACCGGCCCGCCTGGCTCCGCCCCCTGGCCCCGGCCAGCCAATCGCAGCGCGCCTGCCGGCACGGGCCGGCCCCGGGAATCGCGGCGGGGAGGGGACGATGCTACACCCGCGGCCCGCGACGCTGCCAGCGAGGAGAACCTGCCGCCGCTTCCTCCCCCAACCCCTCCGCCCTCCGAGCCGGGTTTGGAAGTCCGGCCCCGGCCGGGGAGGAGGAGGTGGCGCCCCAGCTGGGACAGCAGCAGCAGGTGGGAAGCTCCGCGGCCGGGCGTTTGCGGCTGCCTAATTGCAGCGTGGCCTTGGGCAAAGCTTCCTAGCCCTCTCCGAGCCCCACACTTCCCTTTCCCTCTGCTCGGGGGCGGCGGTGCCGTGCGTGCTCCTAGAGCGGCCCGTGAGGTGCCAGGGCCGGGCGAAACGTTTGCAGGCGGGGAGGGTTGCCTTTCAGCCCAGGCGCGTCTCCCTCTCCCCTCGCTCCCACCCAGTGCCCCCCTCACGCCCCCCCCGCCCGAATTCCCCGCAGAACCTGCGGTGCGCGGAGGAGCCGCGAGTCCAACGGGGAAAGGGACCGGGACCGGGACCGGCTCGCGGAACCCGGCTGGATTTAGACTCGTACAACTGTTGCAACTGCAGAGCCGCTGGGCTCTTTCTGCTCCGGGCTGCTGGTGAATTACTTACAAAGCGCCCAGACTTCTCTGAAGGGTGAACGACTCGTTCCCTCTCGCACTGTCCGCCCTCAATCGCTTTCTCCACCACCGCCCGGCACGCTCTACTGATCTAAAATCAGAGCAATTAGAGTAATGAATTCTCTGGAACAGCAACTCCTACAGACACTCAGCTCTGCCCTCGCATCAGCGCCTCCCAGCCTCAATTCCCAGCAACCAGGCAAGAGCATGCAGACCCTTTAAAAAACCTATGTCAGCTTCAGTGTTAACCGCGTCTGGATCCTGGAACTTTGCAGATTGATCCGTGTGTCCGTGTGTCGGTGTGTGTGTCTGTGTGTAAATGGAGTGTGTACCTCTGTGTGTACCTCTGAGTACTGTGGTGTCATAACGAAGCTTTGCTCTTAAAGGACGCAATATATTTAGGAGTCTTCCTTACACGGAGTTTGAAATTCCTGCGTGTGTGTGTAATGTTTATTGCCTCAAGCGAGCAAATGCGTCTTTCGTGCAGTTTGGTTAAACCTCTAAAGGCCTTCCTAGAGTCGCCGAACTGCTTCGCCAAGCTGGCTTGGATTCCCGGCGGCACAGACCGGGTGCAATTTTGCATGTAGGGGAGGGGAAACTGACAATTCAAGGAAAGGGTCTGCGCGGGTACCCGCTTCCTAGCCTCATACCCTCCTACGGCCCCTAGGAGGTGCTGGTGAGATAGGGAAGGTTTTGCAGATGCGTCCTTAACCCTGCTTTAGCAAGCGTGCCGCTTTTCCTAGGACTGAGCGAGATACTGAAATTTAAAAAGTGTGGAATAAGTTGGGCATGCGGTGTTTCTGCTATGAGAGCCAAACGTATTGCCGTTCCATTCCACTCGCTGACATTATGCAGTCTTCCAAGCCCTGTAACCGCCTTGCCTTTTAAAACCCTGTGTGCGCGGCTGGAGGTGGGAGGGTGGAAAAACCTCACGCCATGGGGGTTGGGGGGGTGCTGGGGAAGGAGGGGAAGGGGTCTGTCTACTTGAGTATTTATTAAGTAATGCATTACTTTTAAACAGCTTGAATTAACTCTGCAAAATAGATGGGTGTATAGAAACCCAGTCTGTAGCCCTGAGACAGAGGAGCTAAAATTCTATGTAGTCAAAGGGAGGAGAAGGAGTAACATTTCACCCCACCACAATATGCTTCTTCTGAAATGTGTTTCAGCATGGATTTCTTCTAAGAAACAGGTGGGAGAGGTCCAGTTAATCCCTTAAAACATATTAAGCCTAAGTGGGAAGAGGAAATTAATCATGATGTATGTTCTCTTCTTTACTATGATTCAATCCGTGCATCTGTGGATGGCTAAGAATTTTCCAAACCATGAATTCAGAGAGGCAGCATTTTTATTTCCAGGTAATGAGCTTTTTTGAAAATCAGTTACCCAGAAAGGGATCCCATTTCTCTGGAACATGGATTGAAATTGTTTTATTTTAATGTTCTTCTCTAAATAAACTGAGTACACCATAGGGCAAAATAGTTTCATATAATAGAAAAATCTTCAAAGAAATGAACACAGAGTTATAAGATTATGGTTGGTTGCATAAATTTAGTTATGGGAGGAGACAAATAAATACACATATCCTAATCTTTCTTACCAACATCACTCTTCCCCACCATGGACTGATATACAGCAATGCTTATTTCTTGAAGTAGAAAGTTAGAGAAAAACTGATTATTGGAATAAGTACCTTCCCAGCCTGAATCGAAGTTGTACCTTAATTATTTAGCTACATAAGGAAAATGAAGGATTATGTTTTGTAAGTAAATGTAACTTTGTGAATGCAGGATAGCATTGATTAACTCCACTGTTTCCTGCTATAAATGAAAAAAATTAAATGTGCATTTTAATTAGTAAGTGACTCTTCACTATGTGCCTATTAGGAAAATTCTAGTGTTCCAAAGTCTTCAGCACTTTTTGGAGTGATGCATGATACAAATTTCTCTAGTCAGAGTATCTTTTTTGGCTGAATCAGTCCTTATTTAGCAAAAATCCCCGTTAGTTTTGGACACCAGTGCTGTTGGGTGTTGGGATCCATCTGTGGATTAATTTTTTCCAAGGAAATGACAGTTATACTCTTACTGATTCCCTCCACAGTAACCACCTATAATATTAGAGCCAAATATTAGTCATAATCTAGATCTGCAACTCAGATTATGAATGGTTGTGTGACGCAGAAGGTGATTGTTCCACTAGCAGCACAAATCTTTCCTTTGCACTTATATAAATATCTCTAGCAATTTGATATATTTTCAGACTTCCATTAACTATATATGGCTCTCATATATAGTATATGAGTATATGCTATATAGTAAATGCTATATATATATAGATATATATAGCAGTCCAATTTTACAATGATGAGAAATGAAAATCTCTCATTTGTATCTGCTGGTATTGAGAACCCCTTACTAATCTTCACAGTAATAATTAATAGCATAAATAATAAATGTTGGGTGAACTTAAAGTGTAGGAAGGATGAGTTTGCAATCTGCTGCAATGAGGACAAGCCATTGACTATGGTATTTTAAGGCACTGAATGTAATTTTTTTTTAAGATTTTATTTATTTGTTTGAGAGAGAGAGGGAATGAGAACAAGTGGGAGGGGGGAGAAGCAGCAAAACCAGAGGGAGAAGCAGGTTCCTGGCCAAGCAGGGAGCCCAGTGTGAGACTCAGTCCCAGGACCCTGGGATCATGACCTGAGCTGAAGGCAGACACCCAACTGACTGAGCCACCCAGGTGCCCAACACTGAAGTAATCTAATCAATGGGAAAACAGCTCTGGCAATTTCACTTACCATCCTGGTAAGATTTCATCTTCATGTTAAATTCCATAAGTGTATTTGTTGAGTAAACACTTTGTAGCTTTGTGATAGGCTGAGTGATACGGGAGACTTAAGAGTCCTAGGAGGAACAGTTCATTCCCTCTGAGAATTCACAGTCTCTCATTGACAAGACAAGCAATGCACAAGTGAAATCGAATGGCCAAATGACAGTATAAATAAGGCAGCTTATGACTAAAGTGCTAAAATCAATCATGCAAGGAAAAAAAAATCTAGAGAGTGTCTGAGGAGTGAAATCAACTAGAATTCATGGGCATGTTTAGAATGGAGGTTTAAATACGTGTGACATATTGCCATGTAGAGCTGGGTTAAGGATACTAAGAGAGAACCAGAAGACAGGATTGCCTCTTCATTCAGTTTATGTCCTAAAACGCCTGTTATGCTTCCAGATCTGTCAATACACATATAATCATGTGTATAAATTAGAAGCTGCTTCTACAAAGGCTGCATGTCTCTGCTTAGACAGACATTTTTTTTTTTTTCTTCTAAAGGTGGGCTTTATTCCATAAGGCTTACTGGCCATTTGTGACCACTGGGGCACACACAGTGATGATGCCTTATTATTCTGGCATACATGGGAATGCAGCATATCACATCATAGCTTTTCCAGCTTATGGACATGTGTTTGTGCTGAGAATCATCGTCTCTAATACACTGTATGCATCCTCGAACTCTAGCTGATTGCCCCTGGAACACTCTAGCATGTTTTGAAGTTTTGTTCTTCTCATGCTATTACAAATATGTCTCCCTATATTTTTTCCACTTTTCAAAATCCACTGCCATGTCTTTTTTTCTCTTTATATCCTCATTGCCTTGCACCCAGGCAAGGAAATACATCAGTTTCAATAAATGTCAGCTGAATGAGGGAATGAAAGTAACAGTGTTTTTGAGTAGACTACGACTTTTGAACAATGACTCAGTATCATTATAATAAACATAAACTATTTCATTTTTACCTGCAACAGAGGGGACTATCCAAATACAGTGAAAGCAATGTCATCTATGTTAAATGACCATAAACTAAGCTTATTTAAGTCTTCTGTTTGTTTTTTCTCTCTTCTCCACCAATGACAGGCTTCACTTCTCATTTTTGCTTCTGCCAAATATATCAGGCTGTCACCATGCTCTATCTAATTCGTAGATTCTCGTCTGCACTGGACTGAGAAATTACATAACCGAGGTTGCTTAAAAATATATGCAAAGTGAAAGCAAATATAATCTAAAGGGCTTAAAGTGGATATATATTTTTGAAATAGTATGAGCAGATACCAAATTTAGAGTTACCTTGTTTTGGTCAGTTTCCATTTTGGGTCAAGAAGCTGCAGGATATGGATTTATGACATCTATTTTGGCTTCTCAGAGCATTTAAATGCGTTAGTCCTTGCATTTACTGTGTAA